TGGGGGAGCACCACCCCAGCCACATGGCAAGGCTGTTCCCCAAGCCACACACAGGCTGCATCAGCAGCCCGGAGGGTATCCAGGCAAGGACCCAATAGAGGGGTCCAGGACTGGCTGAAGGAGGCACCACACCAGCCTGGCAGGGCAACCGGGCCAGGGAAGATGGTGTTGAGGGACCTTGGAGCTGCATACGCTGGACCCATGAGTGGGGCTGGCTGAGGATGCATTCCTCAATGTTGCCTTTTATGGTTTGCTTTATTTTGAGTTACCTTGAGGCCCCAAGGCAGGGAGAGGTGTCATGAGTGACCTCCACAGATCAGGAGAAGCCAGGACTGTGCAATGGACAGCTACATAGCAAGGGAAGACCTGGCACTTTGTCAGGGACGGTTCGACATCCTGTGATCATTCTGGGGAAGAGAGGACAGGCAGAGATATCAGAGGGCAAGCTGGAGATCCATCATCTGGCCATCCTGAGGGCTGGTGCATGGCTGGGGTGTAGGGGAGGTGCAGCCCCAAGAATGCCTGTTAAGGGTAGTCCCCAGTCTGCAAGAAGCTACAAGAAGCAACCCAACCACTGAAGGGAAAGATCAATTCATGGCAGGAGAGTATTGGGACCTCATTCGGACTGAACGTGACCCAAAGTCAAGGCCATAGGAACACACCCTGTGGCTGGCACTGGGTGCACACTCCAAAGTGGTGAGAGAGCACCTACTTGTGGCCAGGTGGATGCAGGGCCATAATGGGAAAATGGGCGGTGGAAGGTATAGATCACTGTATTGTATGGGAAAGGTCCTAGGATGCTGGTTATAAAGTACCTTGTCTATTAGGGCTGTGTGAAACAGCACTGGTTCATTTTGACTTCTGTTTCACCGGAGTTTCTGGGAAACTGCACCTCAAATTCTTGAAAGCAAAACTCATGTCACTTGTAAGTATGAAGGCACAGGGGGCTGAAAACAGCAGGCATGGTAGCCCCTGCTGGGACTATGAAGCCTGCCAGGTTTCAAGGAGATGGGTACAGGGATTTTGGGGAAACTGCACCTCAAGCTGCTGACAAGCAAAACTCATGGGGGGGGGTGTGTGTGTGTTGTGTGTGTGTGTGTGTGTGTGTGTGTGTGTGTGTGTGTTGTGCCCTCACTGGTGCTGGGGCCTCTACATGACACAGTAGTGTGCCCCAATGAGCTCTCCTCCTCCCCTACAGCCTCAGTCTCATCCACCACTTTAAATGACAACAGGTAATAAATTAGTGAGCAGCACAGTAGCACCAGCAGCATCTCAGGCAACCAAACAGTCACAGTCAATATCAGAACAGTCCTCCCTTTCCCCTCCCTCTCCTTACTTTCTGTTTCCCTGCAGGAAAGCCCGGCTTCAGCTTCAAACCTCAAAACATTACAAAACTTTCACTGCAAGGCTGTTTCAAAGCCCTTCATTTCATTTGGATTTCACTGTTTCAAGCTCCAAACAAGTCAAAACGAAACAGCTGGTGAAATTTCACAAAGCCCTATTGTCTATCACAGACTAGAAGAGGATTTGGCCTGAGTTTGTGGGGGTTTTCCTGAGAGAGAAGTTATAGTGTCCTAATGCCTTGATCATCTGCAGGTCCTAGAATAGCCACTTAGGGCTAACAGGCAACTGGACATAACTCAAGAGTGGCTTTGGTAACTGGCCAATTGTAGAGTCCCATTTGTCCCTTCCTCAAGTACAGTAAGAATATTGTGGCCACAGCTAAGGGCACGGCTTAGTGCTTTACCCAGGGCCATCTCAACTAAAGTTGATATAACATCTTTATAGGTGTTAAAGCAATTTAATTAAATGGATATACTAATGGGCTTGATATTACTTTGCTGGTGATTGCTGGACACTGGTATGGATCACTCTGGCTCTTGCCCTGATGATTACCTGGGATGTGCAGCTATTGATATGATGCATTTATTGAGGGTCCCATACATTGCCACCCTGTTACTTCAGTTGTCTCTATAGCATTTTAAGTAGCATCATTCATGCAAAATGATGGGAAGGAACAGGTACATAACAGAACAGGTAATGCCCATTGGTCTCAAGAGCTGATACTGTCAAATAGTCACATACACTTGGATCCTATAGCCTCTGCCTTAGTTCATCATCTAAATGGGTATATTTTGCTCTGTTAGAGTGTCCTCTAACACGCTGTTAGAGATGCAGCAGCAGCCCCATCCCTGTACTTTCTAGCTCCACTCCTCACTCCTACCCAAAAGCATTCCAAGTTTGAGAGCTCTCTTCTATATCTCATCAGAAGGCAGTGTAACAGAGGAGTTGTTTTGGTAGGTTAGTTTCTGCTGGTGACTCCCAAAAGGTTGTGAGGATGGCTCAAAGAATACATGGCACTTTCTCCTTTGGAAAGGCCCTCCTGGCTCATGAACTAGTTCACCCAACAATAAATCTTTCTCCTCACTTTCTACTGCACTGTGCAAGTGATTTAGCAAAAGAGCAGAAAAAAACCTTTTTTTGTTCTTCCTCCCCATACTATCCTGGCTAGTCTGTGACTACATGAAGTTGTATTCACGGACTGAAGCTCTTACAGGACTTGCACATGCCAATGCCAAGGAGAAACTTAACTCGGGGAAACTCTTTGCTCAACTTTCTGGGAGCTGATGGTCATAAATACATTGGTTTCAGGGAAACTGGCTAGTAATCAGCAGAAGAAAAGGGCTTCTGGAATTGAGTGACTGAACAGTTTAAACAGGCCAGGTAGATCAGAGTAGCCCCCAGATCAGGTTAAACCCAAAAAGGGCTCTTTTTTTTTTTTTGCGCACAACTTTCAGAAATCATACTTCAGCTCTTCCTGTTACAAAGGCTTCATTGTTAAGCTACTGTCTTCATTAGTGAGCAGCTATCCTGTCTGTGCTTTTATCACTGACTTTATTAAGCAGGAGCTACAAAAAAAAAAGCTATTTTTTAAATTAAACCCTTGCATGTTTTCACCTTCCTTGGGATTATGGCTAACATCAGCTTACAAATAATGACAGCGAGATCACATTGAAGCATATCCCAGAGCCATCTCTAGCACAAGCCTGTTAACATCTCTTTGGCAATATCTGTATCAGTTCCCCAGTGCTTCATGTCTATCGGTTACTTTCTAAAATACAGATCTTCTGAGACCCAGCTTCCATCCAAATGCCCCACAGACCTGCCTTCCCTCCAGATCTCCCACAGATCCCCCTTCCCTTCAAGCATCCCACTGGTCCACTTTTTTCCCAGACATCTCAGCCTATCACTGACTTCCAAAGTATTTCATTCTTCAACTTGTAAAGCCAGGCATTGTTGACCATGGATGATCATAGATCCTAGCTTGATAACTACTGTTGTAAAGTATTAATGTCAGAATAGCTGAAAACCAAAGGGAAGAGAGAAAGGAAGGAAAAATTGTGTACAGCATATTAAAGGAAATAACCTTAATCTAATAGAACTTTCTTCTCACCTGTGCATTTCATTCTAGTTCTTGTGGGAGGGAATAGAGAGAACCCTTAAGTGTTACAAAAGTAATTTACTTTATTTAGAAGGTAGCCTGATTGACTACTGTGTATTTCAGAAAGTGTTGCATATATATTTCTCTTTAACCTTTTATTGTATCAAGACAAGATCAAGAATTATATATAGCACAGTAATATCACCTTCAGGCTGCATCAAAAGTTCACCAACCATAATAACTAAAGACATGTATACATACTTTAGTCATTAAGGAGAAAACCTGCCAAAATATATTATCTTATTTTTGGCTGCAAAACTTTGAATCACACAACTAAGCCTCATAATATTGCAGAATAAATTAAGCATTGTAAAATATCCCTCTGAGAAGACAGGAATTTCCATAATTGAATCAACCGGTATTCTACCCAGTCCATCTTGTGTCTGCAACAGGAGCCAATGCAAGGTACTTCAGATGAAGACATACACCAGTTGATGGCTTGAAGTGGGCTCTTCCATGAGTACCCGTTTGAATGACTAGTGTCATTCAGAAGCAATAAGAGGACATAGTCTAATCCTGAATTGATCAGCATCTGTTCATGGGATTAGGAAGACCTGGAGCCTGCCCTTCTGGGTGATCTTGAGCAAGTTTTTTCACTTCTTCTCTGTGCCTTGACTTCCCTTATAAAACACTTCAAAACCTACCAGTGTAAAGCTCCGTATGAGTGAGGTGACATTGTTATTGTAATTATTCACTTTGAATAGCAGCTAACTGTGGCTCCAAATTCAGTACATAATAAGCACATGCTTAACTTGAAGTATTTGCTTAAGTCTCATTGTCATCAAGAGGACTGAAACACGTTTAAATTTAAGCATGTATGTAAGTGTTTTCCTAAATTGAGGCCTCCCAATGATTTTGATGGGGCTATTCATGGAATAAGGTGTTACTCAGCATCAGTAAGGGTAGTGCAGTCCAGCATGTGGGTGATTGTAGTAGGTAGTTCAATACTAGCTTTGCTTCTTCTCTTCATGAAAGATGTACACAGGAAAAGAGCAAATATAATGAGAGCACAAGGCTCTCAGAATATTGACTCTTGTATGTATGGAAAAGCTCAAAACTTTAACTAAATCAGGGTTTCCTAAAAGGAGGGAGGGACATTCAATTTCTTACTTATCAGGCAGAAAGATACAAAGGGATTATAAAGAATTGCACAACATCAAGGTCTACATCTACATTTAAGATGTGTGGAACCATATAATGTTATGCGTTGTGTGACTCTGCATTATGTAAATATGCTCCGTGTGAAAGTACTAGGACATATCCCTCCCCAGTGTAACTGCACACACATCAGTGGAGTTCCACCAGAGATGATTTTGCCCAATTATGAATTATAATATTGGCCATTTTTCTGGATATAGCAGTGACCACCATAGTGGCTCATTCAGCACTACACCAGGGAGGCATTTAGTATGGAGAAACAAAACAAAACAAAATGCTAAAACCTTTCTGGTGCAAATTAATATAGTTCTCTAATTACGTTCTCTCTTGTTTGTCCCAGACAGTGTAACTGAAGTCAAGACAGACATTTACGTGACGAGTTTCGGCCCTGTCTCAGACACAGACATGGTAAGAACAATTCACCAGGGAGGTGTGACTTAGAAGTGGGGTGCAAAGTGCATCTGAGGGTCTCTGTACATTTTTTTTTCCTGTCCCATTTTCTTAGAGCTAACTATGAACTACTAGAAAGCAAACAATGTAGTAAATAATCCCTCCACATTGTCTGTCATTTCTGTCCAGGCATAAGGCTGTGGTAAGATGTAACTATTTACCACTTATACTACTAATAGTTATGGACCTACTTAAATTGCAGTGAGACTAAACAATTTTCATGGGTTGGTTGTGGCATAAAGAGCAAATTTCACAGATATTTCATTGATGTGCTCTGCTGGCCTTGCCCCTCAATGCTAATTGGAGGAGAGGCCCAGGCTGTGGGAAGAAGGACAAGGGGGCAGCTGCCATCTGTCTGCTGCCTTTCATACTGCCCTGCCAGCCAGTGCTTTCCCCTCCTGGGTGGGCTGTGAGGCTGGGCTGTGGTGAGCAAGGACCACTGGCTCCCACTGTGGAGCAAGCATTGTATTATTTTTTTTAAAGTTGATTTCACAGACAAACCTGGATTTCACAGTTTCCACGAAATCCACAAAATTGCAAATTAGTAGATTTCTATCAATAAGCCAGGACATGTGGAGTTATATCACCTTTACCAAGGAGGGCAGTCAAGATTGTCAGTTAAAAGGTGTCGGTATACTATAATCACACAACTAGACGAGGTCTTGTATATAGTGGTTGTGTGAGAGAGGCATGTAACCATAGCATGGGTTGTTATCTGGTTTCCCTTCAGGGACTGTGTAATGTTTATTATTGTCCCCCAATATTATCCTCTAGTCCTCTGTAGTGTGTGTGCAGGACCAGGACTCTCAGATCACTCCAACAAGCATCCAGAAATCACTTTCTGTCTTTTATGTGGGCCCTTAATGTAGAGAGCAATGACAATAGAAATTCAAAGAATACTGTACCATTCTGGATTCAAGCCTACCTCTCAGTTTCATTTTACTCTTTCAGAATCTCCCTGATATCAACATTTAAGTTCCAGGTACAATAATCTGTGAATAAGTTTCTCCTTTATTCTTTGCTTATTAAAGATAAAATCTGAGAACTATTAAAGTTGATGGGAAGTTTGCCATTGACTTCTTCAAAAGAGTCAGGATTTCACCCTAGTTCTGTTGATCACTTCTGCCAGTTGTAATTTTCAAGTAAGTGGAGAAGAGAAGAACACACACATTTATCCACTAAAAGGAAGTCCAGGAAAAGCCAGCACATTTTTTAAAGCGTATTTTATAATGCCCTATAGTAGCTGTAATTGCTGGGGCATGTTGCTCTTCGTTACTTCCAAAACAGGCTACCTATGACTTTATATCATCAACATCAGCAGCATAAAAGCAAATCGCAAATGCCATTTTGTCTCTAGCTAGATCCTTAAAACAGCCTGTCTTATGGTTCAAATCCATGTCTATTTTGGGAGCGCTAATCCCGCTACTGAATTTTTGGTAACTATGCCAGCTGTATGGTGATGTTCCTTGGAAAATGCATTTTGCAATTGGTCTTCCATGCTAATAAAGTGTGTACACCAAGAAAGACTGAAAGGAAACTAATACTGCTGAATATGTTCATTATTTTCTGTTTCAAATATCTGACCATTATGCCTATTTAGATGAACCATGCACCTGGTATTTTAATCCTTTTTATTAGGCTGGCCAGAAAAGCAATATTATAGGTTGTGTATACAGTGAGTCCTAACACAAGTGTACCTGCCTGGACTCATGTAGGCATTCCCTTGCTGCCTTGGAGCGTGCATCTGGTGTCAGACATGAAGGTTGTTCCTGTGGCCTTGACGCTGGGTCATGTTCACCCCGAGGGAGACCTCGATATTCACCTGCCATGACTTGGTCTTTCCTTTCAGTGGTGGGGCTCCTTGTGGCCCCTTGCGGGTCAGGTGCTATCCCTAGTGGGGACTCTTGGGGCTCCACCCCGTGTACACCCCAGCCATGCACCAACTTTTAGGACGGCCAGATGATGGACAGTCAGCTCACCCCCTGATGTTGTCACTTACACTCTCTTCATGTGCCTGTCTCCCATCAGTCTTCCCCTGCACAGGATGATTTTGAGTCGTTGGGCTGCCCCTGGCAATATGCCAGGTCTCTCCTCCTGAGTTGCTGCCTGCTGCGCTGTCCTGGCTCCTTCTGGTCCATGAAGGTCACTCATGGTCCCTCTCCCTGTCTTAGGACCCCGGGATAACAGAACAAATTAATATACAAAGTAAAAAAAAAAAATGGGGAATGGGTCCTCAGCCCATCCCACTCATGACTGTGGCTCCTATATCCCTCAACGCCTTCCTCCCTCATCTGGCTTTGCTGCCAGCCGATGTAGTGACTCCTTTAACTGGCCCTGGACTCCTCTGATGGGTCTTCCTTCAGTCTGTTCTGGCTGCTGGTGCAGCCTGTGTTTGGCTCAGGGAGCAGTCTTGCCATCTGCCTCCAGCAGTGCTCCCTCAGCCATTTCCCCACCACCAGCTTTTATTTCAGCTGGGTGGCATTTTTCAATTATGTCATCTACTTGCACTGCTCCCAACTGAAAATAAAAGTGGATGATGAACCACACAAGCATTCTGTCCCAGTGTGGTTCATCACCTTCTTACTTTTTTTTTTTTACAGAGAAAGTTTGCCATGTCTTCAGGGCTTTTCTCTTTCTTGTTGTGGCAGGTCAGCCCTGCCCTGAGACCCACCATGGGAGGGATCTCCAGGCCCTCTACCTACGTCCCCCTGGGACAAAAGGAAAGAAATCTGGGAGATATCACCAAAAGAACCAAAACTTTCTAATGTCTGGTTCTACTCTCTTTTCACCCCTTGAGTAGCACTTTTTTTGTAGTCATTTTCTCCACTGTGACTATTCATTAGGTAAGATGCACAGCATGAGAGAGGGCAATAGAATCTGGGTCAGTGTAATTGGTAAATGTGCTAAAAGGTAGAGGAAACATTCTATCAGTACAATACCAAATTGAAAATCAGAGAGAGGAAGAAAATGAGTGAACTGACAAATATTTTTGACATGTTTAAGGAAAATTATTAATGAAAGGACCCAAGGACTGAATCTGGGTTTGTATTCCCACAACAGTTTGTCTTCTAATTAAAGCAGAACTGTAGAGCATAATTAATGGTTAGATGTCTCAAAAACATTTCTTGCAGCTGGCAATCTATTGGAAAAAAGAGTATTTGGTTGTGTTATTTGAAAGCCATAATAAGATGCAGGGATCATTAGCAAGCACTGAAGCCCTCCTGTGCATTTAGGGCCTTAGAGTTTCACTTGGTCCTGAGATTCCTCATGCTAATGAATGCTCATCCTGATTTAGAGAGACCCCACACTGTGAAGACAAGAAAAAAATCCATTCTTTGCAAGCAGGGCTGGGAAGGTTCAATATTCTGTAGCAACTTTCCGCCACACCTCAGAAGCTGAAAGGTTTTCATTCTCTGTGTTCCTTCAGTCATGGATGTCTCTTCCACTATGCCACCAATGGCTTCTCAGTCATGTGGTTCTGCACCAGTAATTAAAGGAGTCAGAAGAGAATTAAATTTCCATATTTCATGTTGGGGACAGCCCCCTCAGAGAATTCTACTCTGCTTTGGAAGGATCACTCACCTCAGGGTTAAATGTTAACTTCATGTCACTCCAGTCAGAAGAACTAATTTCATCTGAGGTTTTTTTCTCTCATTCCATCTCATTTTCTTTCGCACCACAGCAAAAGCCCTTAATATATTCAACAATCCCAGCCCTTAGGGAGTATCTGATAATTACTTCCAAGGTAGAGCATATTTGATTAAGGGAGCATGTATAATGAACTGCAAAGAAGAAATATGAGGTATTGAAGAGAGGAAGGTATTTTTTTGCTATGTGATTTGACAAAATGAATTTAAAATTAGAAAGACAATTAAAGAATCATAAATTCTTTTCCCCCTTGTGTGCTGTAGTTGCATATAATTTTTGCGCGCACAGAGCAAATGTGTTATATCATGTGACACTGGTGCTGAATGCAATTAGCAATGTGTGATCAAGGGAGAAATGAAACTCACCTTTGTGGGAAGGGAGGAGTGACCTCTCACCTTTCTTAAGAATTTTTTTTTACCTTGGGTTAGAGAACTAAGGAGGTCACTCATTTCACATTTATATGTCTCATGATCTAGCTCTAGTACAGCCATTATTACCTGCAATTGAGACCCTGCCTTGTGCAGCCTTATTCAGGGGGAGATTATAATGACAATGATGGGCCTGGGAGGTGAGGTAAGTTATGTTGCTGTCAAAATCAGCTGGTTAGTAACTACAGAGGAAAGTATGCTGCTTTACCCTGAAGCACGTGGGGAAACTCCAGTCTCACTCACTAGGCAACATGAAAAATATTGGCTGACAAGGCCCACACTAATGTCTGGTACTTAGTGTCGGACTGTCCCTCAGCTTCCTCATTTCCTTGGCAGCAAGGTTAGACTGAATAGGGTTTCTGTACCCTGAAGAATGGACTTTGGAAAGAGGCATTACAGTGGAGAAGAACCTGGTCTAGATTTCAGTATTTCTCTGGGATGAAATTTAGTAGCAAATCTGGATGGAGAAGAATGTGACTGTAAATTGTGTGCTTGCCTGGAATAGGCTCCAAGTGCAGCCCCCAGGAGGGGGTGAATCCCAAAGTGTTGTATTCTGTGGCCATATGGGAGGAGCACTGGGGACTACAGCTAAGAGGAGGAGAACCTAGAATGTGATTTTCCTTGTTCTTGGAAATGGATTCTTGGAGCCTATTCCAAGGTCTTCTTGAGCCAGGTATTAGGGCTGTGCAAAACAGCAGTGTTCTGTTTTGACCAGTGGTTCAACATTTTGATGGAACAGCGTTCTGTTTTGAATTTTGTTTCAGCTGTTCCTTTCCGTTCCATTGAAACAGAGAAATTATTTCGACATTTTGCCCATAGTATTTAACGGGAAAGGTCAAACCAGCCTATAACTTTGTCATTTCTGGCCTGATTTGGATGAAA